GGGGGGGGGGATTCGGAAATTTTTAACGATGAAAATTAATTTTTTTTTGTTTGAAGGTTGGAGATGTAATAATTCCGATGGAACTGGTAGAGGAGGGAGAATGTGTGGAGATGCACGTTTAATTAAATTTTGAAAACCAAAAGCTTTATATTTATGTATTATCTTATCAGAGGCCGAATTTAAAGAATTTGAGCCGCGGCTTAAATTTGGTTGGTTCCACTTAAAATTGTATTCCATGTTTCAAGATTTAAGCCGGCGCTCAATTGAAACCGGTTTAAGACGCGGCTCAAATTCATTAAATTCGGACACTGAGCTTTTAAATTGGTTTAAATGATTTGAAGACATGCATTCGTTTCTCATTGATCATAAACAGGGAACATTTTTCTTCTTACTCTGATTAAGTTAATCCAGTTCATGCAAAAGTTAACACCTCAGAAATTTGTCAGATCGTTTATGAAAAATGTAACGTTTTTTTATATACTTTTTTAAAATCCCTGGTCACATGTAATTTAATAAAATTATATGTTTTAATTTGAAAAATAATCACCAAATTAGATAGAAATACAAGTACAATTGTTAAAATATAATATTTTCAGAAAAACGGGTTTTAAACAATTTTAACAAAATGGCCGGTCCATCCTCCCTGCAAACATACAAGGCTTTAATGAGAGAAGCAAGCAGGTTTGAAATTTTAATTTGTCTGTTGATTATTTTCGTAGGGTTTTTTTCTTGGTTGGTCCAAGGGTGTAATGCAAGGAAAGTGAATTGCTGTCGTGTATACTCTGCGCACATATTGAAATCAGTTCTCTTTGGGCGGAATTTGTAAACAAGAATAGATGCATCAGTTTTCGTTAAGTGTCCGAGGAGGTTAAAAGCATTAAATTTGATAATTTTTTATAATTCACATAATAGTTTTCTACGACCAGAACATTTCATTGATTTTTTTATGTGAAAGATGGATCCCATGTCAGGCTGTAACATCCGTCATGCGTTTAGATTACCGCCCAGAGACAGTACACTGCAGTACAAAAGATGCGTAGTGCGTACACTTCTGAAATAACTTTTCTTGCATTACATCCTTGGGTTGGTCCATGTTTTACTGGTAACCTTGCCAAGTTTAAACCTTTCATTTATACGACTCTAATTTAGTCAAGTTGCTGGGATCCCTAGTTAATATTTATTGAATATAAAACAATCTAATTGTATATATGTTTGAGTAAAATACGAAATGGCCTTGTTAAAAGATAAAAATGGTTTCCAAGCTTAAAATCCGCAATCCAATTAGAAGACTTAATTTTTTCCTGAAAACAATAATAATGATGATAATAATATGTCCTTCTCATGGGACTTCAGGTTGCCCGCTGGAGCACTACGTCCTGGAGTGAAATATGGGGTTTCCTTTCATGTTCTCATGTTCTTATGTTCTCATGTTCTCATGTTCTCAAGTTCTCATGTTCTCATGTTCTCATGTTTTCACTTTATTTTTAGGTTTCCAGATTTCAACTTTAGAAGCTACTTTCAGAGACGGATTAGGAAACCCAAACTTATTTTTTAAATCCTTGATGATTTGAAACTCCCCTCCCATTTCCACCCTCTCCCCCCCCCCTTCCTCCTCCATGAAAAGTACAAGTCTTGCCAAATAAAAGACAATTCATTGTGTGCAAATTCAACTACGGATTTTTATATTCTTAATTCTGCACAAGGATAATCAATTATTGTAAAATCCTGTTGCTATATCAAAAAATCATGTGTATTCAAAAAGTATTTTGCAATGTAGATTCTTCATGGTACCGATACCGTGCCATAATCGATATTTTTTAAAACTTTTTTTTAAATAATAAGTAAGATAACCAATTTTTTAGTTCGTTGAAAATTTCAGCAAAATAGGAGCGCTCTTAACGATCACACATCGCTAATGATCACACATCGCTAACGATCACACATCTTTAACGATCACACATCGTCGTTAGCGATCACAAATCGTTACGATCAATTATAGTAAACGACTTAAACATTACGAACAGTGAAAAGACAATCGTTAATGAAAAGATGGAACTAAAGTATTTGGAACGGATAGATTTTGAAATGAACAAATGATCTAAATAGCGGGCCTCGTTAACGAACGTAAACCAAACGGTTTCAAAATTCAAGAACATGCGCAGCCCTTCTTGAGCACAACCAGAGTCATATAAGTGTATGTATATTTAATATTTATATATCAATTCTTATCGAGCATTCACTGGTCTAGTATTAAAATGTACAAACTACACATATCGTTTTGGATCGTTTTTAGAAAAAATTCAATACAATTTGCAAGATTTCAAAGCTGTTTTATGTTGAAGTTTGCTTTTTTAAACCAGTTCCTGAGCTGTTAATACGCCACAATAAAATGTAAACAACCCTTATTTCCCACATTAAACATTTCCTACCCCTCCCTCTCCATGTACCTCTGCTATCTCCCGAGCTATCCGACTAAGTTTGCGTGTACTGTACAGAGATGCGTTTAAGGACGCGAAGACTGAGGAAGATGCCACGGTTATTGCTGGAAAACTTGCCAAGGCAAAACTAGATCTCGGCATGCTTCAAAGACAAGCAACTATAGGTATATCTTTAATCGTCTAAACCTGTACGGAGGATCCATTTAATTTTATACGGATCAGAGATAAACCATTTAAAGATCATCAGCTCACAGTCAAGATTTGTTCTTGAGAGCAAAACGTTAATTTTTAACAGGTTTTGGTTGGTATATTAGTTACCCCTTGGATATTATAAACACCGGTTTAAACAAAACGGAAACGTTCTAAATTTATTTTGATGTTCTATGTATTCGTTTAAAATAAATATAAACATTATCTGCATATTGATCCTGATATCTGTATTATGTATTCGTTTAAAATAAACATGAACATTATCTGCATATTGATCCTGATATCTGTATTATGTATTTTTAAAATTATCAATGATTAGAAATTTTGCAGAAAATCATCCAAACATAAACATAAAAATTTCTCATAACTTATCCTTCACCCTTTTTTATGAAATATCAACTATTTACGAATGCGTCGAAAAATAATCGATGACTATTGTTTGTAATATTTGTTTGGAATTAAATTGATTTGTTTACGATCCGAGTTGAATGTTGCATCTTTCTGAATTTGTATTTTTCGCGAACACTCCCTTTATTATCAACCTACCCTGGTTAGGCGGATCCAAACTGCATACAAAATAATAATTTTTTATTTTCATATGGTAGATTAAATAGTTGAGATGTTTGGAATATCATATCTGTTGGGTTCCATACAAGTAAACCTATCGTATAAGAATGCTTATTCTTACACTGGGGGTGTAGAATTTTCATTCTTTAACGCCCAGACCGTGTAAGAATGGAATTTTTTTTTCACGGTCAGAGCGTGAAAGATTTAAAGTAAGATAAAATAAAATATCATCGTTCAAAAAATGATAGTTTTTAACAATTCATACAGATCTACATATGATTTAAATTCAAATCCCGTGTTGAAGATTTCTTTTCTTAAGATTACGTACAGGTTTACACTGTCAGTTTTTTATATTTTTGATTCCCTGCAACTGTAAACTTGTTTGTCTCTTTTCCAAATCGTTAGATAAGCCTAATATTACTATATAAGAAAACTTATTTTAACCTTAGGATCATCATATTTTAAGAGTTTAAGGTCTGTCTTTATAGTCCTATCCTTTGCGTGTAACCCTGCACATATGTAATATTTATATGAATATATATTATATTATTACCTTGTTTTAGGTTACCTGTTTGACCCGCATACCCGGCTACCCGTGAAGTAACTACCTGACCTACCTGTAATCAGCTGTATATCGTATATACTTCAACTCTAGTGATACATTCAGTCTATGAAATTTTCTCGTATTCATTGCAACAAATTAATATTTTGTGATTAAAATCCTAAAGGGATTGTTTATCGTTTTTTGAAAAATGATTTATCCCAAGAAATTCCGATAATGTTACAACCATTTAAAAAAAAATTTAAATATTGGATTAATTGTACCCATTTTTGGAAATTTGTGAACATTCCCTTTAGAAATATTTATTTCATTCCTGGGATTTGCAGATACACTAACTGTGAAAAATGGCTACTTTAAAGGGAGGAAGACATAAAGTGTTAAAAAGACAAGGCGCAAGGTATTTTTGTTTTGCTTTTCTGTTTTTGGGAATAACATTTCCTTTATACCCAACGTTGCCCAGGGTACTTTTATATACTCCCGCCGTTTACCCGCGCTTAGTCGTAAATTACGATTTTAGCTATTTTTCCCTATAAAAGTGAACCCACTCAACTTAGAATATAAAACATTCCCCCTTTGGGTTTTCTGAGTGCTTCAATCAAATTTAAGGCAAATCTGGTACATGAGTTCTGAACGGACATACAAACAAACAGACAAACAGAGTTTACAACTTAATATATATTCTGTTTTCTGTATTTATTTTGTTCTATGTATTTTACTTTTAGCAAACGTAATTGCAAACTTAAAATATTGCAAATATAAGCAAGGTTGCTACTAAATTATCTCTTTGAAGTTGATAACTTACTTAAATCTCCCGCATTTTCTGTGTTAAATTTAAAGTGACGTTCCATTTAGGAATTGTTTGAATATGGATACTTTCCAGATATCTTCCCCAGTTGGAACATGGGAAGTTGAACAATGTAACCTAGGTGAGGAACAGCAAAAGCTTAGTTACTTTTTCCTCTATCTTCTCTTTTTATGTTTTTTACAATTATTATTTTCTTTTTTAAGTTTGATGTGCATCAAGATTTAATAGCATTTTTCAAGAATTTAAATCACTAACTTCCAATTTAAATAACTATCAATAGTTATTTTAACTTTTTGTCTTTTGAAATATTTAGAGAGTCGAAACAGAGCTGAAAACTTTAGAATGTGATATCCTTAATCCCGATCTGTTAATTAATCTGAGCTGAGCTGGGAACTTTAGAATGGTGGATATCGGGATTAATGCTTGATCCACTCTTTTTCTTAATCTCCTGATTAAATATTGCTTGTTCTCCTCATGAATTTCATTAACAGAACGGGATTAAGGATATCCCATTCTAAAGTTTTCAGCTCTGAAAACTTTAGAATGCATAAACTTTAATCCTGACTTCTTGATCCGAATATCCACTGTGGAAACTTTTCATTTTAGTCCTTAATCCACTTCTTTTCTCTCTCCTTGGATATCCGTTAATTGTTTTCTCCAATGAGAATATTTCTGTTCTCTCATTGGTTGCCCGCTTTTCTCTGATTGGCTGCTACAGTTTCTCAGATGATTAAATATTAATTTGAATTTTATCGTTTTTCATACACTTTTAAGATAATCTTGCTAGATTATGTTAATCTGGAGATTAAGAAAAAGAGTGGATTAAGCCTTAATCCCGATATCCACCATTCAAAAGTTCCCAGCTCTGGAAATTAAATTCATGAGGAAAACAAGCAATATTTAATCTGGAGATTAAGAAAAAGAGTGGATCAAGCATTAATCCCAATATCCACCATTCAAAAGTTCCCAGCTCAGGAGATTAAGAAAAAGAGTGGATCAAGCATTAATCCCGATATCCACCAATCTAAAGTTCCCAGCTCGGAGCTGAAAACTTTAGAATGGTGGATATTGGGATTAAGGCTTAATCCACTCTTTTTTTAAATCTCGAGATTAAATATTACTTGTTCTCCTCTCATTTTTAATCTCCAGATTAATTATCCGATCAGGATTAAGGATATCCCATTCTAAAGTTTTCAGCTCAGAGCTGAAAACTTTAGAATGGTGGATATCGGGATTAAGGCTTAATCCACTCTTTTTCTTAATCTCGAGATTAAATATTGCTTGTTCTCCTCTCATTTTTAATCTCCAGATTAATTATCCGATCAGGATTAAGGATATCCCATTCTTAAGTTTTCAGCTCAGGGCGCTTTGCAATATTGCATCTTTCTAGTAATAATCTTAGATTTTCTAATTCGCAAGCTTTATTTTGTCTAGATTAATAACAGGCAAACATCAAACAATCATGAAAAATTTCACGGATTTTTTCGTTTCATTTTGGTAGATTTGCAACAGATTTTCAAATCGAAACCATTCCTTGGGTGAGTTACCACAAAATTTGATCCAAGCTGAAAACTTTAAAATGAGATATCCTTAATCTCGATTACTTAATTTGAGTATCCAATGGACACACTTTTTGATTATCTTCTTAACCCGTTCTTTCTTGGATATAGTAGAGAAAAATCAAAAACCGGTTTTTCTAAATTAGCGAGTCCCTCTCGTTTCTGTATATAATCTTAAATGGCGCATAATTTCAAATTTATCGGCATTATATATGCGACTCTGATTTGTTGAATTTTATACACTTTTCAGGATACAAGTACAATATTAAGAAAAAGAGAGGATCAAGCATTAATCTCAATATCCACCATTCTAAAGTTTTCAGCTCTGATTGGTTAAGCTGTTTCGATGTCTCATGGATTCAAACCAGCAGATATGCCAAATATAAAAAATTGGTTAAAAGACGACTAATAGTATTTTAACATGAGGTGTGCACCTGGTGAAACTAAAACAAGGAGAATATCCAGAAATAGATCTAGAGATTCCTGTCAGAAATTTAAACAAGGTAACCCCCAACCTTCTTGGAATAAAAGTTTATAAAAAAATGAAAATAATCTCTATTTTTTCATTTCAGTGTTCTCCCGCTTTGTATACTGAGCAGTGGCTGGATGCATATTTTAACAGGTTTTCTTCATTTTTAGTTTTACCCTCAACATTATTTTTGGACATTTATGTTTCTATTTTCTTGGCATACATTAAATATGAACCCTGTTATAAAGTTATTTTGAAAATTTAGTCAGTGTTTTTTTTCTAGATTGCATGAATGTACAGAGCGTCCCATATCATATTAGATTATCTCCAATCTTTAACACCTAAATACGCACATAATACTAAAAAAATCTAGCATTTTCTGCCAAAAAAAATTTCTATTGGCCTTATTAAATTTTTTAAAATGATTCATTCTTCTTAAATTTTCTGATTTGTCCCCCAAATCGTAATTTAGACCCATTGACGCGGTCTAATTTGATGTGGGACACCCTGTATGTTCTACCTCCTGTATTCTGTATTCTCTAGATTAAATGATTGTATCACTATGGAGCTGGTGCTGTATTCTTTAGATTAGATGAATGTATCAGTATAGAGCTTCCTCCTGTATTCTGTATTCTCTAGATTAGATGAATGTATCAGTATAGAGCTACCTCCTGTATTCTGTATTCTTTAGATTAGATGAATGTATCAGTATGAAGCTACCTCCTGTATTTTGTATTCTCTAGATTAGATGAATGTATGAGTATGGAGCTACCTCCTGTATTCTGTATTCTCTAGATTAGATGAATGTATGAGTATGAAGCTACCTACAGTGTGCCCATATATTCTTGACCCCCAACAAAGCTTCAGAAGTAAGGTCTGGGATTACATATACTCAAAACTAGGTAAATAATTAGTTCTTGAACACAGGGGCATTTTTTCTTTTGTAGATGTAACATAATCCTAATGAATCTTAAGTAGAAAATTTGGTTATCTTTGAAAAATACTTAAAACAATGGGCAGTTTTTTCACCAATATTTTCTAATCTAAAAAGTTATACGTATCTTTTTAAACTACATTACCTAGTTTTATACTTTATTATTCGAATACAGTAGACTACAATAATAGTAAATTACTTAAATGTACAGTTAAAAACATTACTGTAAAGCAAAGAATAAAAGAATAAAAGAATGGTACAGAAAATTACATCACTGTACAGTTAAGTACATCACTGTACAGTTAAGTACATCACTGTACAGTTAAGTACATCACTGTACAGTTAAGTACATCACTGTACAGTTAAGTACATCATTGTACAGTTAAGTACATCATTGTACAGTTAAGCACATCATTGTACAGTGAAGTACATCACTATTCATTGTACAGTAAAGTACATCACTCTATACTAATATGCAGTACTGTGCACTGTGTACTTGGTAGTGGTACAGTTAATTACATTACTGTTAAAGTACAATACTGTAAGTGTGCACTGTGTAGTGTTACAGTTACTAACATCACTGTGTAGAGTTGAGTACATCATTGTACAGTAAAGTACATCACTAGTGTACATAAAAGTTCATCACAGCACAGTACAGTTTGTGATAATGTAAACATTGTTTATATTTTCTTGAAAAATCATTTCTTTAAAATTATTTGTTTTTCTTCAGAAAATAGAAAAAAGATGGATTCGAAGCAAAGGTTTTTATATCGTTGAATTGGGTAAAATAACTATATTTTCGGGGGTAAAGTTTTATTAAGGATAATACAACAACTTGCCTTTTATTGTACCTATTCATCCAAAAAAAAAAAACTCCTCAACTGGGGGGAGGAGTGTGTTATAATTATAAATCCCTGGAATACTCTTTTAAGTGCGACGAATGATACTAATATTCTACAGGGGTTGGAGAACTTGCTAGCTACGGTGAAGTGGCCGCTGCAGTTGGCTCTTCTAAAGCAGGTTATTTTTATGTTATTTTTAAATATGTTTTTTATTCGTAGGACTCCATAGCCTTAGAGGCCGAATTTAAAGAATTTGAGACGCGGCTTAAACATTGTTGGTTCCATTTGAAATTGTATTCAATGTTTCGAGATTTGAGTCGGTGCTCAATTGGAACCGGTTTTCGGCGGTTCAGCGACGCGGTTTAAATTCTTTAAATTCTTTATGGAGATAATATTAAAATCCATATTTATTTAAATAAATAAATAAATAAATAAAATAAATTTGTCATGATCAAGATGACAAACAAAAATCTCAGTCCCATCTCCTCTTTCAGGAATAAGAAACTAAGGTTTTCTCCCGTCAAGACTTTGTTCTTAAGTTTTTAATTCCTGCAATTTTATAATTTACTTAAAACATAGCTTCTTGTTTTTAGCCCAGGCGGTTGGAACAGCAATGAAGATGAATCCTGTTTCCCTTATTATTCCCTGCCATAGGTAAATATGGGGTTTAAAGGGACTATTTACGTAATTCAATTGACCTTACAAAACAAATAGTTGATAGCCGGATTCACAACGGTACCATTTACATCAATATCTGATCGAGTATGAATAAGACATATTTGTCATTGTTGCACAGATAAAGGTGTGATAAGTACCTTTGTGAATTGGACATGACTATGTTTAGTTGGGGGGGGGGTCACTCTTATTTTTACAATGGCAGACCCTGTAACTGTAAAGAAATATAATAACAAAATATTAAGAAGGTTCCCTTTGAAACTAATATAAACTGGAAATTTTAAGTAAGGGTGAAACTAGTTCATCGAAAATATCAAATCCTTTTTGCAACCGCAAAATATGAGGCATCAGCAAGTTAGATGCAATATTAGTAAAATAAAATAGAAAAAAAAACAAAACATATTCAGTGATTTCAGGGATATAAGTTCCAAAACTAACACTTGGCCCATTTCTAACACTGAGTGTTAGAAATGGGCACAAATTTAAAAGACTGAGTTTTTGGGATCCCGGCCCATATACAGAGTAAAAATCGATAATAAAAAATATAACCAACATTTTATTAAACATGACGAGGACAACAATTCCCAATTGTAAACTTAAAAAAAAAAAAAAATTATAAAAGGAGTTTATTTTTATATTTAAGCTCTTCACCGTTTTCAAGACAATGATAGGTTTTCCATTTTCGAACATATTCTGAATTTGAAACATTGTCGTTTTCGAGACAAAACCCACTTTCCCGTTTTAGAGTATAATCCACCATTCAAAACAAAAATCACTTCATAACTTGCAAAATAAATCACTGAAACAAAAGTTATCTTTTGAAGACTAAATTAACTTCTGAATTATTTCTAGAATCTAAGTTTCCACATTTTATCTGTTAATGGATGATTTTTTTTCAAGCATTTTAAACAAACAGTTTCCCGCATTTCTAGTTCAATCTATATTGTAAGAACAAATGATATTAATATTTTAATTTCTAAATGCTGTAGTAATTTTTAAATTATAAATGAACAGTTTGTTTTTATTTCCTATTTTTTTATATTTTACCTTATCAAAAATCTAGTTTTTTTCATAAGTGCGTAAATACTTGAAAATTAACATTGATAAGAATTCCGGTAATTGTCTCAAAACCAGGATATGTTCCGAAAACGCGACATGAGCTGAAATCCAGTAATTGTTTTAAAATTGGGATATGTTCGAAAATGAAATCAAAAGTCATCAAAACTGATTCTCACACCTTATTTTTCGTTTAAAAATGACATTTATTGTTTCAATTTATAGTTTTAGCCATTTTTTATAAATATATGGTGTAATTTTGTTCTACTCGACTTGGATTTAAAGATATATTCTCTTGAATTTTGGAACTAATATTCCCTGAATTTAAAAAAACGGCGATCATAAGGGAAGGTCGATTTTTTTATTTTTTTTCAAAGTTGTTGATATGTTTATCAAAAGATGAGTGTTGAAAAACTGTTTTATTTTTGGCTAAAAAACTGTTCTCCGAAACTCAGACTAATATCTTTAAAAAAAAGGGTTTTTTGCTGATATTGCTTAATTTTGAAGGGATTTTTACGAATTTATCGTTTCTGGATTCAGTATTTCATGACTGATATTTTGATAAAAAAAATTCTGTCTTATGTTAGTAATTTGATCTGTACAAAAAAGCAAAAATTCTCAACATTTTTAAAAAAATTCTCAAAATTTTTTTAAATATACCAAAGAGAGGTGGATTTTTATTTAAAAACAGTTTCATCCTTAATTTCAAATTTTTCTTTAATATTGTAAGATTATGAATCTGTAATGAAAAGTATCTGATAAACATGAATAATTAAAATGCATCACGCTTAAATGCATATATATTATATATATTATATATATTATATATATGCATGTAAATCTGAATTTAAAATGCTTGATCACGAATGTTTCCTTTAACGCCTGATGGAAGAACTCAATATTCTGTCCTAATTATTATAAAGTTGGAGCATATTTTGGTATTTTAAGGGGGGGGGGGGAGCAAGTACAATATTCTTATCAAAATTCGCATTTCTTGATTTTATGATTCAAATTTACTTTAAGAATGTATGCTGATACTTTTATGCGTTTTTCTATTAGACTCATTTTGATATGAGAACCCCTAATATTTCTCTTAATTGTCAAATATTATATTTTATATATTATAAAACAGACTCTATACTGATATTTAACCCTAGAACTGATATTTAACCCTAGAACGAATATTTAACCCTAGAACTGATAGTTAACCCTAGAACGGATATTTAACCCTAGAACTGATAGTTAACCCTAGAACGGATATTTAACCCAAGAACTGATAGTTAACCCTAAAACTGATATTTAACCATAGAAATGATATTTAACCATAGAACTCATATTTAACCATAGAACTGATATTTAACCATATAACTGATATTTTAACCCTAGAACTGATATATTGTAGGGTAACAAGAGTGGGCGGAGATCCTGGTCACTACAGTGGGGGAACTAGGGACAATCTCAAGGTCTGGTTTATCAATCATGAGAAGAAGAATATAAGATCCAACATTGATCAATGATCATCGAGAAAAGTCGAGGAATTGATCAGAATTGATCAGAATTGATCAGATTTCATCAGATTTCATCAGATTTCATCAGTTGATGAAATAGTTAGCTGACGAATTAATTCTTAAGTAGCGGAATTTTTGTTTTTAAAAGGTGCAGCTGTAAAAATGAAGAAAATGTTATGGGCCGATGCAATATTACAGATGACAGCTACTGTCTAAGACTGCAGAAACATAACTGGTTATAGATGAAAGATGGCAGCTACTCTACTTTCCATAATTGGAGATATCAAACAGATTGTGAATGACAGCTGCCAGCCATGTTCTGATTACCGATATTCAACAGCTTAAAGATATTTATAACAGTTGTATGACAGCTGAGAACTAAAAAAGCTAACAAGAATCCAGGCACTAAGGAATGATATTTTACGATAAAAAGATTATTGTTTAAAATAGGACATCGGTTACTTTATAGCAATCTTAATTAAATTTTAATGTTTACTGTTGAAAAAAAATTATTTTCTTCCCCCTCCCCCGTAGTAGGGTTATAATTCTGTTCAAAATCTTAAATTATGAAAAAATTTATCATTTATCTCCAATTTTACATAGGCCCCTGAGATTCATGTGTTATATATTCATACTGTCATTAAACTGTTTATTTATTCAAAACAAATTAATCTTCTTAAGTCAAAAAAGTTAATAAAAAAATTGAGACGTCAATACCCTTAATATTGCAAAAATGTCCAAAAAAGGATTAATTATCTTATAGTTTAAATATCAACCATTGCAGATCTGAATGTTTGAATGATTGCAGAACAATGTTAGGTTAAGGTTAGTTCGACGTGTTTTGTGATTATTCATTAGTTCGACATTTTTCGTGATTATTCTGTGATTTTTATGTTGTACTTCCACGATGGTTCTGTCCTAAACTGAAAGATACTATCCCAAGGGTATTTTCTGAGAGATGTTTTCCCAGAAGTATTTTCCTAGGAACTTTCGACTAATTAGGATTTTTTCCCCTAATACTCCACCCAAATATGCTTTTGATAAGATTCTTTCCCAAAAGTGCATTTCAAACGGAAGTTTCCCAAAGTTAATTGCCGGAAGGTACTTTTAAAGTACTTCTTATAGGTGCTTTCTCTGAAGTAGTTTCCCACAGGTTAAATTCCAAACGTGCTTTTCTTTAGGTACAGGGTGTCCTCCGAAACATGACAGTTGCTGAATAGTTTCAAAGGTCTTCATCCATACACTGTATAAGATATTAAAGACTTTTTATAGTTTATTTTGTTAAAAAGATCTTCTACTCGAATATGTTTTACTTTAAATCAATTATACTGTAATATGACTGCCATATGATATTTTTTAATCTCTCAAACAACTTAACAAGGTATGGAAGCAGACATTTTCTATTCCCCTACTGTCATGTTTCGTGGGACACCCTGACTGTCTAGGAAAATCAAACTTTTGTAGCTGCTCTCTAACACATTTATTGTTTATACAGATGTAATAAAAACAAGTTTTTTCTTAAGTGAGAACCAGACAACTTTGAAATATGAAGACGACAGTAAGCCAATATTTAGGTGTATGAGATGTCGTTACGAATCATATTTATTTACTAGTTAATTCATAGCCTAATAAAATCATATTTATTTACTAGTTACTTAATAGCATAATCAAATCAGATATATTTACTAGTTATTTCATAGCCTAATCAAATCAGATATATTTACTATTTACTTCATAGCCTAATCAAATTAGATATATTTACTATTTACTTCATAGCCTAATCAAATCAGATATATTTACTGGTTACTTCATAGCCTAATCAAATCAGATATATTTACTGGTTACTTCATTGCCTAATCAAATCAGATATATTTACTAGTTACTTCATAGCCTAATTAAATCAGATATATTTACTAGTTACTTCATACCCTAATCAAATCAGATATATTTACTGGTTACTTCATAGCCTAATCAAATCAGATATATTTACTGGTTACTTCATAGCCTAATCAAATCAGATATATTTACTGGTTACTTCATTGCCTAATTAAATCAGATATATTTACTAGTTACTTCATAGCCTAATCAAATCAGATATATTTACTGGTTACTTCATTGCCTAATTAAATCAGAAATATTTACTAGTTACTTCATAGCCTAATCAAATCAGATATATTTACTAGCTACTTCATAGCCTAATCAAATAAGATATATTTACTGGTTACTTCATAGCCTAATCAAATCAGATATATTTACTAGTTACTTCATTGCCTAATCAAATCAGATATATTTACTGGTTACTTGGTTACTTCATAGCCTAATCAAATCAGATATATTTACTGGTTACTTCATTGCCTAATTAAGTGCACACTTTAAAATTGCTGTGTTTCATGCTTCTTAGGACTATTTAAAACCTTAACATGTTTCTAAAAGTTGTCTTCCTATTCCATAGTTTTCTGGTTCTCACTGTGTATATTTAATTTTGAGGGTAGCTTTTAAAGTTTTAATTTTTTCATTGAAATACCTTTGATGAAGGAATTTCATTTTTTACTTAAATCTAAATGTATTCCTTTTTTCATTCAATTTAGTTAAAAATAGTTTTTTATTTTTGGCATAAACACAGCATCTGATTTCATCATATAAAATAAATCGAAAAATAAAAATAAATCTAATTATTTTCTGTGTTTAAGCCTCAATTATTTTTTTCATTTAACTTTTGTAGGACAGTATTTTTTTGTACTTTTTAGACTAATAAATTTTATTTTTTTACTGCACGTTTTTTAATGTCTATTATTTTAGTTTTTTGTTTTTTTAATTAAGTTATTAAGTTTACTTAATGCTTGAAAAACTTCAAATACTATTGAAGAGTGTGTATACATAAATTAGAAGACGATTAACTAAACTTTCGCTTAAGTGGCCTTTATTTATAACGGTAACCTTAAAATCAATAATGCGGAAGGTACTGTTGTTCTTTATGGTTTAATTATGAGAATTTGGAGCATTTTGACAGAAATGTGCAAGTTGAGATTGAAAACCTGAGTTAAAAATAATAAATAGATGCAGTATTACCCACAAAAGATGAGACTGTGTCAGATGCAATGACAAAGGCTTAAAGCTACATCAATCTTCTGTAGAACTACTTAGTTATATATTTATCTATCTTTCTAGTTATAAATCTCCATCAGATCTTTCCTGTTATTTATTTATCTATCTTTCTAGTTATAAATCTACCTCAGATCTTTCCTGTTATTTATTTATCTATCTTTCTAGTTATAAATCTACCTCAGATCTTTCCTATTATTTATTTATCTATCTTTCTAGTTATAAATCTATCTCAGATCTTTCCTGTTATTTATCTATCTTTCTAGTTATAAATCTATCTCAGATCTTTCCTGTTATTTATCTATCTAGTTAACAAATCTACCTCAGATCTTTCCTGTTATTTATCTATCTATCTAGTTATAAATCTACCTCAGATCTTTCCTGTTATTTATATATCTTTCTAGTTATAAATCTACCTCAGATCTTTCCTGTCATTTATCTATCTATCTTTCTAGTTATAAATCTACCTCAGAGCTTTCCTGTTATTGATCTATCTATCTTTCTAGTTATAAATTTACCTCAGATCTTTCCTGTTATTTATCTATCTATCTAGTTATAAATTTACCTCAGATCTTTCCTGTTATTTATCTATCTATCTAGTTATAAATCTACCTCAGATCTTTCCTGTTATCTATCTATCTATCTATCTATATAATAAAGCTCTTCGCTCATTTATATTTTCTCTGATTATATGTTAGCCATAGCTGGCCAAAAGGCTGGACCGACTGGGCTGAAATTTTTTATTGGAACTCTTTAAGTACCCCGGGGGAAACAAAGGCTTACAAATTGGAATTTTTTTATCGAAATTTTTTTCATAAGAATTCGATTTTAAAAATTTCACAGGCAGCGCCAAGCACTTCAGCCAGTCTTCTAGATTCATTTAATTATTCTTCCTTCTATGTATCTACAGGGTAGCCCACAAAGGATGAGATTTTAGAGACGACCTGAAACTCCTGAAATATAAAGACGACATGAAACTCCTAAAATATTATAAAGACGACATGAAACTCTTGAAATATTATAAAGACGACCTGAAACTCTTGAAATATTATAAAGACGACATGAAACTCCTAAAATATTATAAAGACGACATGAAACTCTTGAAATATAATAAAGACGACCTGAAACTCTTGAAATATTATAAAGACTACCTGAAACTCCTGAAATATTATAAAGACTACCTGAAACTCCTGAAATATTATAAAGACGACATGAAATTCTTGAAATATTATAAAGACGACCTGAAACTCTTGAAATATTATAAAGACTACCTGAAACTCTTGAAATATTATAAAGACGACCTGAAACTATTGAAATATTACGAACCTAGGGTTGAATTAAGGCTTGAATCTAGTTTTTTATTGAATTTTTTAATGATTTGGCAAAGATAAAAGTAAGTTTATATTTGTAGGGAATCATGAATATGGAAACAGACGGTATAAATTCCTTCCAATTGTCTCTGAAGTTGTATTCTCTCTGTCGATCTGCCTGATTAATGTTAATAATTGAATATCAATCAATCAATCGTCAAAACAAAGATTTTGAAGAAGTTCTGGAAGTAAACAACTTATTAAATTTTATTTAAAACGTTCAAACTCACTTTTCTCCATTAAAAAGAAAATCCTTATTTACATTTTTAGCAGGAAATGTGTATTTCTCAAAAATTGTCTACTGAAAGGGACTGCAAGCATAAATTTAAGTGACCTTCTATTTATTTATTAGCGTGTTCGATATACAACTGTACCCCAAAACCCTTTCTTCTGAACAACAATGCATATTAAATCCATCAACTAAATATTGAAAAATGATTAATTTCAATTGTTAATTCCCTCTGAAGTGATTTGCACATTCTTCTTGCATTGTGCAATGAAATTATTGGGGTAAATAATAGAGATAGATGAGAGCGTATATCCCTGCACCAACCCACCTCTTCATAGGGCTGGGCAAAGTTCCGTTAACGGAACAGAAGTTTCCGAAAATTAACGGAATAGTCCGTTAACGAACTGCAAAAACTGTTAACGAAACGGATCAGTCGTAAATGTAATTAAAATAAACGGTTGAAAACGAAAACGGATTTATTTTTTAAAATTGGTGAATTTCGTCTTTTTTTCTGCTTGAAAATTGCATTAAACTTGTATAAAAAATTTTTTTACGTGTTTTGATGTTTTTAGATGTCATCTTCTGTGTTCACAACTTTAAATGCTGAGAATAGATCGCGGTACCTTGATTTTGATTTTAAAATTTTTGAGTCTTTCCAGCCGGGAAAGAATCTGTGTTCTCCTCAGAATAAGATAAATATAGTTTATTTTTGGACATCATAAATACTACTCAGTCCGTGCAGAACAGGATAAATATAGTTCAACTGCTAGTGCTGACATTTGACAAACCATTAACGCTGTTAATACTACAAAATAACCATTAATGGCTGCATCATGAACGATTTCGTAACCGTTAACGAAAATTTTTCGGCGTTTTGCGAATGCTGAAATAGACCATTAACGACTGGAGCCGATTGTTGAAAATTGTCCATTAACGTAATTGTTATTAAAATTGAGATCAATAACTCAAAGTCGTTTTTTAAAAAACCGATAAATGTAGTTAACGAAACGAACGTTCCGTTCTTACCTTTAAAATTAACGGCTACCTGAAATTTTTCTTTTTTAACGGTTGGAACTAACCGTTAACGAAACGGCTAGAAAAAGTTGGAACATGCCCAGCCCAACTTCCACCAAGTTCCTGCCTGGGCAGATGGGCAAGCATTGTCATGGAAGCATACTGCTAATTGCTATGAATGCATTTTAATAAATATTCCACGGCAGAGGTCACTGTGTCTGTAGAAAACTGTGAGAGAACAGGATACTGATCGCTTACTTTTATACAGGGGTTCAGCTAAAACAACAAAAACTACGCGTATAAACTTCAGATTTTAGTGTCAAAAATAACAAATTCTCCTGAAATAAAACCTTCAATACAGATACGGGAATCAATCATACCCCTCCTTAAATCGTGGTTAACAATTAAAGTGCCAGTCTTTGAATTTTTTCCAACAAATATTTATCTATATATCTATCTATCTACAAGTGTACCCTGAGTGTACCTTAACCGTATCTATTCTATGTTAACTATAAATAAAAAAGAAACAAAAGACATGTATTTGCATATATTCATTCTAAGTCATGCCTTTCCATTAAGACGCATATCTTATTCAACAATTTGACCTTAAAGGAAGTGTTCGCAAAAAAAAATGAAAGGGGGTACAGGCTCACGGCGAAAAATAATCCCTTTTATCGGTACTAATTTTACTTCTATCTGTTGCGTTTATAAGAAGAAAATTGTTAAAAACGACTTGAACGGAAGAACGTAGAGTCCATACAAATATCATAATTTGTTATTTGTTTTATAAACAATGCACTTAAAACGACTTTTTTAACGCTAGGTGTCTCTGCCACGTGTAATCATTGAAAGCATCGAGAGCTGAGACATCTGGCTGCCAACTTTTTGGCGTGTTAAGTGCTTTGTATACAAAACGAACTTTCTGAATGTACGGACGCTACGTTCTTCAGTTTAAGTCGTTTTTAACAATTTTCTCGCTATAGACGCAATAGATAGAAGTAAGATTAGTAGCGATCAAATGCGATTATTTTTTGCCGTAAGCCTATACCCCCTTTCATTAGTTAACAATTTCGCGAACACTCGCTTTAATATATTGCTCGGACAAGATGGAAAATAACTTTTTAATATCTTTGTGCGAGTAAATTAAGCCATTAAGTTATTTTTGAATTAAAAGTTTAGGAAATAAAAGTTTTTTTCAAACAAGTAAAAATCAAATATTAGAAAATCAAATTGAATTAAAAGAAATTGGTAAAATTTTGGATATTTAATCTGCAGATAATGCTTAAACTGTTTTTTGAAAACGATATATTGTTTAATGTTTTAACTTCAAGAAAACTTTCAATGGCTCATATAGTTGGCAAAAAAATTGGGCCCGATATTCGGCCGTTTTAACGTCAAAACACACAAACAGACAGGTGTGAACATAGTCGTGCTTTATGAACGGAAAGTTACAAATATAATAAAATAAATCTGATATCACGTCAGAAGTGTGTTGTAATAATAATAACTTTGCATAACTTTATTACTTTCAATTCACTGTACAAATTAAAATTCACAAAAAAGTTCAAAAACATCAAAATATGTTTTCCAACAAAATCGTTTAGATTATATTAGCTATTCAAGATATGTATCAAATATTTTTTTTATTTTTTTAATTATTTTATTTTTATGATTTCTATTCGCTACGTAAACAATGATAAAGTTTTACAACATATTTTATCATTATAACTATTAGTTTAACAGCTTCTGTCCTTAACCGAATAATATTCAAATACAACGGTTGACCCAGAAAACACAATTCTTCAATTTTACCAGAAAGTAATATAAAATTTAAGTAAAAAAGCAAAAAGGAAATTTTATAAAATCAATCAAATATTTTTTAAATCAATTCTAAGATTTTCATTTCGTAAATTCAGATCCCGACTACACGAACCTTTAATTTATAGATATGGGTTGAAATAAAATTAATGCTTCATCCAGAAAACTTGAGATAGTTGTGTTTGCATATCGGATAAATAATTGAATAATTGAAAAGTATGAACATTGAACACGCTATGTACACGATAAAAACTTTAACAGGGTGAATCAAAATTAAAAGAACAAAGTTATTATTTTTTTCAACGTATTTTAAGAAAATCAAAAAATGTACCATTTTAAAAATCGACCAAAATTTACAAAAAAAAATCACAAAATTCGACGCCTAAAAAACTCAAGTGAATTAAGTACAACTTTTTAATCTGAAGCCATGCTCATGTATTTCTCTTTATAATTAAGCAGATCATTAATATCTTTGATTGAAAATCAGATACATTTAAATATTATTTAGATAGATAAATATGTTTTGACCAGATCGATAAAAAACGTTACTGATAAAAAACTAAATTCTGAAAACTGAATACTAAGCAGAAGCACTGCTTTTCAGTAAATTTTCTCTCAGTTCTTCTAAAACAGTAGAGAGGTACAGACATTGTTCGGAGTAGGGGGTTTCAAACATAATATTGAATTAGGGGGTTTCAAATAAATAGATAAATTAACCGGGGCATTCACATATATCTAGACTAGGGTGTTTCAAATATATATGGACTAGAGGGTTTCAAATTTATATGGACTTGGTGGTTTCGTAAGTATATATAGACTAGGGGGTTTCAAATATATATAGACTAGGGAGTTTTTAATTAATCTGGACTAGGGTGTTTCAAATATATCAAGACTAGGGGGTTTCTAATATATATAATAGGAGGTTTCAAATTTATATGGACTAGGGAGTTTTAAATATATAAAGACTAGGGGGTTTCAAATTTATCTGGATTAGGGGGTTTCAAATATATATAGACTAGGGGGTTTCAAATTTACATAGACTAGGGGGTTTCAAATATATAAAGACTAAGGGGTTTCAAATTTATCTGGACTATGGGGTTTCAAATATATATGTATATAGACTAAGGGATTTCAAATATGTCTTGACTAGGGGGTTTTAAATATATCTAGACTACGGGTTTTCATATATATGTATATAGACTATGGTGTTTCAAAGAAATCTAGACTAGGGTGTTTCAAAGATAAACATATTAGGGGGTTTCCTATATATCTAGACTAAGGGGTTTAAAATATATCTTGACTAGAAAGTTTCAATCATATCTAGACTAGGGGTTACATTAATTCCTAGACTAGAAGGTTTCAAATATATCATGACTATTAGGTTTTAAAAATATATAGACTAGGGGGTTTCAAATAAATCTTAACTATGAGGTTTCGAATATATTTAGACTAAGAGGTTTCAAAGATATACATATTAGGGGGTTTCAAATAAAACTGGACTATTGGGTTTCAAATATATCTAGACTAGGGGGTTTCAAAGATATATATATACTAGGGGGTTTAAAATATATCTGGACTAGGGGGTTTCAAATATATCTAGACTTTAACGATTTTAACAGAAAACTAAATTTTCGCTTTTATAGTCGACCAGTTCAACTCAATGTCTGTGGTCCTTCCGAGTTACCCAATTAATATTTGAGGCAAATCGGTCAAGGGGTTCCTGAGTTATGATCGGACAAACCAACAGACAGACAGATAGACAAACAGAAATTACAACTGAATATGTAGACCAGGCAGTAGGCACCAGTGTGTAGAACTTTTATGATTTTCTAGGATTATTTTAACCTTTGATGAAAAATTAATTTTTATGTCTAGGATTTGTACGTTAAAGACGTGTCTGATAAGACAGCTGTCAGAATGAATAATGATGATGACAAGAAGACAAAAGAAGAACATCTAGGAAATGATGATACAAACAGCGAAGATGATTTAACTGCTGATGAAAACACTAGCACGGAAGAAGCAATTAAAGATACCGTAGATGCTCCAACAGATATGAATGCTGATGTAACTATAAAACCTGTAGATGGTAGGAGTGCTGATCAAATCTCTACAAGACCTCTAGGAGCTATACCAAAAGTTGGTTTAGTTGGCAGTCTGAGTAATGTAAGAAGAGTCAGTTTTGGAGAGGCCATCTTAAATGATGGAAACACAAACTTGAAAAAGAAAGACAGTGACTTATCTAAGAATCCAAAGGGTGAACCAATCCTAATGCCAGTAAACAATGACGCATTGACTTCTAAAGAGGAATCTGGAACAACAGGTTGGGTAGAAAATATTGATCAAACGTCTCCAAGGCAAGCACGCACTAGTAGTGAATCTGTGGAAAAAAATGTCTCATTAGACATCAATACAGTTGATACTGTCGCTGTACCTGCTGCTTTTCCTGAGACCGAAGATAAACACTATGCTGTAAGACCTCAAAAAAGATCTCATGGTGCAGGGAAGCTCCAACAGGAAGTGCGGAAGAGAAGTTCAGAGAAGAAGCCTATAAAGAGTGCTTATGGTGTCTTTAATACAGCTTACCAGGCAAAGGCGGAACTAGAAGCATTGTGTTTAGGGGAGGGGGGGAGGGAGGGGTGTATAAGGATAAAAAATATAGAATTTCTAAGTACAAGGGGATAGAAAAGTCCCCCCGATCCTAAGGTTAGTTTGGCCTTAATGATCAGGAGGAGGAAAGTGGGAGTGGAAGTGAGGACTCCTTTGATTTGAAAGAGCTGGAGGTATTTAGAGATGTGGGAGTCCAGGGAGCAACCAGCAATCAGCATAGATCTTCGCAAAACTTAGGAAATTTGCCTTTTTTATACCACCAGATTGTTTATTATTTTTGCATTCGGCAGAAGCGATAAGTCTAACACTAACATAAAAATTAATTTATAAGAGTAAACATGTATATTGCAGAGCTTGATCAACTTTAAGAATGTTATCTTTCATATTAATAAATAATTACAATATCATTAATAACATCAACAGTAAAATAATATTAAAAGAAAAATGATTATTTTCTATTAACAAATACACGATTTTCGCCAAACCACCCCCAACTGAACTAAGTATAATTCCACTAATTTTTTTCTACCAATCTCCTCCTTTTTTGAGCTATCTGTGCAATTTAAAAAAAGGCCGCCATGTGTACTATCCGTCTCGTTAAAAATTATAAAAATTACCACATGGTCAGTTTTTGCCGCAACTGAATAAAAATGGCTGCCGTTTGTACAGGTGGCGTCCAGTTTTCTCGAAGTATGTCCGCCCCAACGGGAGTAGATGTTGGACTTGAGAAGAGAAAAAATCGTCGCCTCTTTAAAAAAGTTTTCAGGTTTATTTTATTTAAATTCAAAATAGAAGTTGCTTGAAAGGGGGCGTGGGTGTTAATTTACACTAATGCACGCAGTGGCGTAAATAAGGGGGGTTATTGGGGTTACTTACCCCCCTTAGAATCCTTGGGGTAATTACCCCCCCCCCCTAGAATCTTTGGGACACAAACATCCCGGTTTAGTAACTTGATCTCCACTCTTAATGTCCATGATTACCATTAAAAGAAAAAATGTAAAAAATTTTTGCCGCTTCGCGCGGATAATCTTACTCAATCAACTTAAAAAAAGTAACATAGATAAATTTTACCCAAAAATCGAGTTTTTGTAGTAGCGTACTTGCACTATATGTCAAATTAAGTATATTATGTTAAAAGATCAGGATTATTAAGAATAAAATTGTAAAAAGTAAGATATTTTCCTTTTGATATAGTGAAATTAATATATATAATATAGTAAATTGACGACAAGTAAATTTTAGAAATTAGAAATTAGAATATAAACAAATACAATAATTTTTCAAAGTTTTGCAGAGTAGCTTTTCTGAAGATTTAAAAAAGTTACATTTTTCCTCTTAGAGTAAAACTATTTTTATGTAACTTAAAATAAATTCAGTTTCTTACAGATCTTTGTAGTTAATGTTAAACGAATGACTATAATGAAGGATATAAAACAAGGTGAAAGCTTAAAGGTAGGAAATGAAGCCTTTATTTGATGGAGTTAGTAAATGCCAGAAATGAGTGGAAAATGCCAATCAAACCAAACTAAAACCAATAATTTTCCCCCCCCCACTAGATTGCAGGATTTAGGATAAGATTACAACCATATCTGTATTCAGGTTAAGATTACAATCGTATCAGTATCTGGGATAAGATTAAAAATATATCTGAATTTAGGATAAGATTACAACTATCTGTATTCAGGATAAGATTACAACTATATCTGTATTTAGGATAAGATTACAACTATATCTGTATTTAGGATAAGATTACAACTATATCTGTATTTAGGATAAGATTACAGCTATATCTGTATTTAGGATAAGATTACAACTATCTGTATTCAGGATAAGTTCACAACTATCTATGTATTCAGGATAATATTACAACTATATCTCTATTTAGGATAAGATTACAACTATATCTGTATTCAGGATAAGAAATTACAACTATATCTGTATTTAGGATAAGAAATTACAGCTATCTCTGTATTTAGATTACAACTGTATTGGTATTTAGGATAAGATTATCACTATCTCTATATTCAGGATAAGATTACAACTATATCTGTATTCAGGATAAGATTACAACTATATCTGTATTCAGGATAAGAAATTACAACTATCTCTGTATTTAGATTACAACTATATCTGTATTTAGGATAAGATTACAACTATATCTGAGCTGGTTTCTGGAAGATCAAGAGAGGTAGGAAGTCCGAGTTCCTGGAAATCCAGGAAGAATTTAACTCCTCTGGGATAATATATGAATTAACACTTTTTAGGGGTATTTAGCTCTAGGTTTATATCTCTTTTAACAGTTTACAGGGCGATAAAACTAATCTACTATAGTTTAATATTTCACTTTATATTGTATACAGTGGAATTAAACTAATCTTTACTTGGTTTACAATATAAGTGTTGTTATGTTGTTCGTCTTTGTTATTAAATGATTGTAAATACGGATCCCTCTTAATTATCCCGTCGTAGTGAGATTTGTACAAATTAAGGTCCCGCTCTTACTTGGAAAATTTTCACTCTAATAATATTTCATTGGTATCAAAAGAATCCTTTAAAAAATCACGATGATACTGCACTCTCCCTTCAATTACTTTACATAGCCGGTCTCTCCCTTTCAGAATAATCACGCAACCTTGTAATATCAAGTTATTTAAAAGGTTTAGTGAATATTTTGTAATTATTCCATACCGCAAAATAATTTTTCATGCTACGATACCCTTAATATTAAATATTTCTAATGACAGTGTCGATTAGTTCAATTATTAAAGAGCGTTTTATCTTTAAGTACATATTTGTTGCAATTCATCTGATTCTAAGAAAATGGATTTTAAAGAAAATAAATAAAATCTTGAGCATAAATCAAATAAAACAGTTTAGTGTTTATTCTTAGATTTATTAATCAGGTCTGAGTTCGGAGTTCCACAACGATATAATTTGGGGGTATAATAATTGAAAAACACCTTAATGATCTTTCATTGCCCATTGGACGTTTAGAGATAATCAAAATTAAAAAAGCCTATCAAGGAATTAACGAATGAAAAATTGCAGCTTCAGAACATTAAGATTCAAAGTTGATTTTATTAAGTTAAGCTTGAAAAAATATATTTAGAAAAACTTAGCTTTTCCTAGCTTGAAATTTAATACAGTGATATCCAGAAAACTTTGGAATAGGAAGTCGACTTTCAAACTCAAGTTATGACTTTTAATAGCGCATTGAACATGAAACATAGCAATTGTGCAACGTAAACAGACCCATTTTAATTAATAAGTTATTTAATAATTTTCAAGTAAAGCTATTTGCTTTAAACAACATCAAATACATTTCATAAATGCTGTAATGTCGTCTTCCTATTCTACAGTTTTCTGGTTTTCTGGTAGTTTTGTTCATTTCAGTCAAAACTTTATTTTAAAGAAAAACTATTTTCTTAATGAAAATATTACCAAAACTTTCAAGTTTGTTTGATTGCAGTATTTTGTTTATAAATAACTCTCAAATATATAAAAGTCAAAATTAAGCATTCTGGGCTAGTGGGACTGTGAGGGTATTTTTCAAGTGACCCTGCATGCAAAGATTGCATTATTCGATTCACAACGGTACCTTTTGAAATCTTAATCTGATCGACAATATTGACGATATTTTCGTTTTTCGAGGTTTTAAAGTATTTTGCTGTATCAATTATTTTTTTTTTGTCACTTTTGCAGAGAAAATAAAATTGAAAATAATCAGATTTTAAATTACAAACATGGATATCTAATTCATACTTGATCGGACGAAGCTTTTCAGGGTGAATAGAGCATTGACATCTTTGTATAGGGGTATATTTGAAATTACGCTTTCAATTTCTTTAAATATGATTTTAGGCTAAAAATTCCTTGAACTAATGGCATTTGCTTAAATTGACAATAAAATGTTTTTAAAAACATAAACAAAAGAAAACATTCATTAGAAGATATTATCAAAATATTCAAATTAGTTGAATTGCAGTTTTTTTAAAACATAAAAAAATAAAACACAGTTTCAATTAAGTATTTAAGATTCCACTGCTAAACTTGTTAATGTTAACTCTTTAATAAATGACAGATGTGCAGGGTGACCCAAATATAATGCTTGACGAAGAAATTATTTTAGGATTAAATTTTTTAAACTTCCAGATATTTCCAAATAATTCTTGTTATTTTTTTTATAAATAATAGTTTTTTGTGAAAAGGAGAAATTGGTTCACTAAATTTTTTTTTTAAATGAAAAGGTTGTAAGAATGAGGCAAAAGGTTTTCAATTTCTTAGTTTCTTTTTTGGGATCGTGATCTTTTTTGTATTTTATTTTTAAAAAACGTTTTAGCTCAATGTAAAAGATTTAAGCTTCAATAAACAGCGAATTTTCTTTTTATTTAATTTCTTAAAGGAACTGCAGATAGTTGCATAATTTCAAGTAACTCAATTTTACGCGACAAAAATACATATATTTCATCAACGATATTAGGTTTCAGGTGTGCTGTTGTGAATCTAACATGTACCACTCTATAAATGGGATCACTTGAAATTTCATCTACAGTCTCTTTAAACTAATTTAGTTAAGTCTGCTAATGGAAAAAATAAAACAAGATTTAATGCTGCAAACCAGTAGCTTATAATACTGCTAAAGGAATTGAGTCCGTGCCGCAAACTATAATTTTCTGATCCCTATAACTTTGCAATCTTATGGTGTAAACCTTAGATATTTCAAACTTACATTATTTCATCATAGTTTTCATAATTTGAAATATGTAAGTGCTAAAACATTGGGTGGCAAAGATATAAGAGATTAGAATATATGAGTTTGTAGCATGACTCAAATCCTTTATAAAAGAATTTGGTTGGAAACCCAGCTTTACCTAAAGTTATCCATAACAAGTCAATCCATGGATCTAAGATTAATGCGATTGCGTTGCAACGATATAGGGATTAGAAAAACAGAATTTATGACAAAGACTCAATTTCCTGTTATCAGAAGTTTCACCATTTTCACCATTTTCAATATAGATTAAGACAAAGATATCCTTAAAAACTTCTCAAAATTTCAATCTTACATTTTTTCCATTCTTTATTTTTCAATCCAGCAATCCTTAATTCCTTTAATTCTTTAATTCTTAAACAGTTAATCCTCCAATCCTTTACTTTTTTAATACTTTAATTCTTTAATCCTTCAATTCTTTAATTCTTTAATCCTTAATTCTTTAATACCTAAATTCTTCAATTCTTACATACTTCAATTCTTTAAGTCTTTAAATCCTTCAATTATTTAATCCTTTAATTCTTTAATCCTTCAATTCTTCAATTCTTTAGTCCTTCAATTCTTCAATTCTTTAATCCTTTAATTCTATAATCCTTTAATCCTTAAATCCTTTAATCCTTCAATTCTTCAATGATCCTTCAATCCGCCAATTCTTAAGTTTATTTTTTATTTTTTAATCTTTCAATTCTTTGATCCTTCATTAATGAAACGAAAAAATATTTAGTTTAGAATTGGGAAACTACTTGAAATTCTAATGTGGTGTTCTGTAAATCTGCATCAATGCAAAATAGAGGGAGGAGGGGTTGCGGAAAAGGGGAGGGAAGGTGGAAGAAGGGGTGGGGGGGCTTAGGAGGGGAGAAGAAGAGGGGGGGAGGAGGGTAAATTGGGGAGGTGTTCCTTCGAACTTTGATAATGCAGTTTCAGATGAAATGGTTTCAAAGAAAGAAGATAGGGGAGTGAAACCTCAAGTTCCCAATATGTGATAAAAAACACTAACCGATTCGAGAGGGAAACTGGTGAGGGGGGGGAGGGGTAATTTGAGGTTTTAAGCATTTT